CTAAAAAAACCTCTCCTATAGATATATAGGCTTAGGCAGTACTCAAGACCTATAGGCTTAGACAGTACTCAAGATCTATACTAGGTATGTTGCCCAACTATGAGGAACAAGCTTTGGCTACTATATGGACTTAAGGTGAGCATATGCCCACACTAGGCGTGTCATATCACGCCCAACCTAGGCATACCCCTAAGTTAGGCATGCCATATCATACCCAGCTTGGATGCTAAATGCCAAGCTAAAACCCTTATAGGCTCAGGTATGCACTCAAACATAGCTAACATAAGCTCATACAATGCATCTAGTCATATTTTTTGTCTTTATCAGGCTCAGTCAACTCGCTTGAGTCCAATACTAAGGAATTTTTTTAAGATCCCATATGAGTCCTTTATTAATTGTTTAGGACCTCACACATGTCCTTCAAAATTTTATATTGATCTAATATATATTATTTTAAGTGAAATACAACTCAAAATATCACATTAATTTATAAAGGTAAAATTGCTCTTTAGCTCCTCTTCTCTATATAAGGACAAGACTTGTAGGATATAAATATCCTATGAATCTACTAAGTTCAGAGTTTATCATTTTTATTTTTTATTGTATAAATATTTTCAAAACCTATCTTTATAGAATATCATTAAACTTTCTCTCCCTGCAAAGATACTTAAGCATTTGAGAGTCTCACATCTATAAAAGATGACCTTTTACAGGTACAAGCTACCAGGCATCAAACATTTGTTATAAGTCACCTTAGCTATAAAGAATATATCAGATTGCTAGAACTAAGAGATTAGCTGATTATCAAATAAATAAGTCTTATTTCTAAGCTACTTAGATTTTTTTGGATATCATCATTTGGTTATAAATATATTTTCTTACATAACTTGCTTTTAAATTTATGACAACCAGCATCTCAAATTTATACTTTCTTGCTTTACATATCACTAGTTCATTTATTTGCGCCATATTACGGACCATACCATTTTTAAAAAACATTAAAAAAAAATTAAGAGCATGGGGATTTTTTTTGCAATGCTATCAAACCCATGTAAAAAGATAAATCTTTAAATCTCTTAACTTGAATCTTTGTCTAACGCAAGTTTTTAATTAAATTATATAAGAGCTAACTTGATGTTAGATAGTTTATTTAATAGATTCAAAGGAAACTCGAATGACTTTTTTTTATTTTTAAAAATTTAATGTTGAATGATAAAATCAGTAAAAAATAAAAAAGGATGTTGAGCCAGGTAAACTTTTTAAACCCATAACCCAAGTTGTTAAATAAAAAATATCATACATGAAAAGGCAGTAGAACTTAATTCTCAGCAAATCTAATATCGATTGAAGCATTATTACTATTATTATTATTACTACTATTATTATTCTCATCATTATTATTATCATTGCTATTACTACTAATATCATTATAGCTATCACAATTACTACTATTATTATTAAGTAATATCATCAACATTATTATTATTAGTGTTATCTTTGTTATTACTATTACTATCATTATTATCATTATCATTATAATCGGTAATATTATTACTGTTAATATTATTCTTATAATTATTATTATTATTATTATTACTACTACTACTAATATTACCATTATTTTTATATTTCTCACTATTATCATTACCATAACTGTTATAACAAATTAATATTACTATTATTATTATCATTATTATTACTATTAATAGTATTATTATCAATATCATTATCATTGTTAAAATTATTAGCACTATTGTTGTTGTTGTTGTTGCTGCCGTCGTCGCCACAACTATTATCACAGTACAACCATATTATCATTATCATTATTATTATTATTATCATCATCATCATCATAATTATTACTGTTTTTATTATCATCAGTATAATTATTGATATCATAACCACTACGGTCATTATAGTAAACTATTACTACTATTACTATTATCATCATAATTTTACTATTATTGTTATTATTATTATTTTAATAAATTATTATTATTATCATCACTATTATAACCGTTATTAACACAATCAGTATTATTGTTATTGTTGTTGTTGTTGTTGTTGTTATTATTATTATTATTATTACAACCTTACTAATATTATTATTTGTTACAATTAATAGCATCAGTATTACCATTACCATTACCGTTACTATTAATAGTTTTATTACTTTTACTATCATAATCATTATTATCATTATTATTTCATAATTATTATTATCATTGCAGTTAATACTGTCATAAAAAACTACTACAATCATTGTCACTATTATTAGCATTATTATTGGTTTTATCATTATTATTACTATTATTTCTTTAATTATAATTATCACTACCACTATTGTTGTTGTTGTTGCTGTTGTTATTCTTATTGTTATCACAATCATCGCTATCATTACTATCATAATAAATTATTATTAATATTATCATCATTATTATTAGTAGTAGTAGTAATAATAATATTATTTTATCATCATTGTTATTATTATGACAAAATCATAAATTTAATTTGAAAGATAAAATTAAAAATCATAAAAAAATTTATAAAAAGTAAGGACACAAATAACAAATCAAAAGAAGAGAGACCAAACTGAAAAAAAAATATTATTACAATTGAAAAAAAGTCATAAATTTGATTTAAAGAATAAAATTAAAAACTATAAAAACTTTGACAAAAGAGCCAAGAAAAAAAATGAGGATGAAATCACAAGAAACAAATAAAATCTATAAGCCATCCAAAAAAATAAAAAATAAAGGGACCAAATTCAAGAGATGAAAAACTTGAGGATAAAATTGAAAAAACTTTCCAATTTGAAGTATTTTTTTCAAATAAAAAAAGGATTGAATCTAAAAAGAAAAGAAGTTCAAGGGTTGCTGTGTTTTTTCCATTAGCAACGCAAAAACTAAGACATATGAGAGAGAAATGAAGGGGGAAAGGCAAAATCAACCAGATATCATCACCATACACGCGTTGCCCAGCAAGGAAGAGAATGCCAAGACGCATCCAATGGCACGATTGAATATTTTTTTCTAGCACCACAATTATTCACATGCACCGCTCGAAGGCAACAAAGTAGCTGGCACGTGCTATGCATGCATACACATCAACAATTTTTTGTTTTCTCTTTTATTTTTATGTGTTAAAAGATATCACTTGAAAAATTAAACAATAATTACTAAAAAACCATCATGAAATGACAAGTTAGACTGATGCTTTGAGAATTTTCCTTTAAAAAATGATGGGGTCATTGCACTCTTCTAAAAAAAAATGAAAAACCAACCATGTCCCTAACCATAGTTAAGTTAAAAATTGCTTTGAATAATAGATCCATTATAAAAAAAAAAAAAAAAGTTTATAAATTAACAAAAATACCCCTCAACAATTGAAAAATAACAAAATGAACCCTATGAAAATACTAATCGACCCCTACAGGCTAGTTATAATGGTTTTTTTTCTAATGGGCAAGAATATAATTCCACTATTATAATATACAGTAAATCATGCCTATACAGTGCCTAGCCTTTCTTTTAATATGCTCTGTTCAAATTGGTTGCCATCCTGTTATGGGAAGTAATTCCTTTTGTAGCGCTTGTATTTAGCTTTATCGGGCTTGAAGTTAACTGTTATTTGATACCCAACACCGGGCAGTGAAATTGAAAACTTTTTTCCAAATTTGAGAACAAATCCGAGACTATGGAAGCTGTTACCAAAATTATTGAAAGCTAACCAGCAAAGGTCTGCTGAAGGTGCTAGAACCACAATCTGGTCATAGGATCAATTTACTCCTGTTGTGCAGAAGGTATTTCCTTTCCTTGCATGTAAATCTTACATCACATGACTTCAAGAAAAGAAATAATTTGATTACAATTAAATATGAGATTGAAGGAGTAAAGGCCTCTCACATTGAACTTCACTTGTACTGGCAAGCATTTGATCTCTTCAAAGTTTGTTGTGTTGTGACTGTTGTCTCTATACAGTTCGGTCTTCAAAAAGATGAAGAAATATCAAAAAGATTTCTCGAGTTGGTGTGGAAAGTGCTCTCTAGAGAAGGAAGGCAACGAGCATTCATCACTGCTACTAAATCGGTAATTCTTATTTCATTTATGCAATTTCTATGGTAGACTTGTGTAGCTCCAGAAGAAAGGAAGGCAACGAGCATTCATCACTGTTGTTTGTGATGTTTGCCCTGTCAGTTGTAGACTTATCTAGCTCCTGGTCTCTAAGCACCATTGTAGGTAATCTTTTGACGTTCAATTTCCCTGCCATGTGCATGAGATGAATATGCTTGTAGCAGATGGCAGCATGCCTGCACATTTTGTAGAAAGTTTGACTGATCTAATCAGCAATCATAAATTAACAGCTCTTAGCACCATATTTAGGGCTAGTCATGGTGTCTAGAACCCACATGTAGCTTTGTCAATAATTATATAACTTGGCCATTTATAACACTCTGAATATAGCTGCATGTTTTCTAATCTATTGATTTGTATCAGCATATATCAAAAGCTTTTGCCTGGTATTTGGTTAACAAAATGGGTTGCTTTTTTTTCAATCATTTGTGCAATTGGATTGCGCAATTTTAATTCTGTAAGCATTGTGAATAGAGTATTCTGAACGGGTGCTGAATGCTAATGACTGGTTTTCTTTCATCTTGTCAGGTCTAGGCTGGTGGGTTCTCGGCTGCTTGCTAAAGGAACGCAGCTCTTCAGCCCTTTTGTACAAGGCGGTGAGACTGTAGAAATAAATGGATTAGAAAATCAAGCCATCAAATCAAAAGGTGGGAGAAAAGGAACCTTCAATGATCGAAGCCATGATGCTATATGTATTTAAAATTCTATTCTATGTAGTTCTAAAAGTATACTAATGTTTGTTGAACTTGAAGAATACCAAAACAGTGCATGTCTAGAGACTAAAATTTAAATTTTGCTATAAAATAAAAAACATATGAAAGCTCAAACAAATTGGATATCTGGGTGTAACTATCAAAAGCTCAAAACGTTACAAAACCAAACTAAACCAAAACAAGATGGTTGGAATCAGTTTCTAGTTCGGTCTGATTCTGAATATATATAAATTCAGTTTGGCTGGTTTTATTTATCAAAAATCAAACAAAACTGAAAATGCTCACTCCTAATATGATCATCAAATAATAATACATTCACGAGGATCATCGAACTTACCAAAACATTCGCCAGCTGTCGGGGCAAATCCCTTCATTGCAGGAGCTACCTTTTTAAAAGGTTTGAAAAGATGAACATAAAATAAAGAAACCCACAAAGACTATTTGTTACCCTAGCAGAATTTTCCATCAAAATGAATTTCAAGAATACGTAAATAAAAATACATTGATTAAAAAGGAACATTCTGGAGTAAAATTGAGATAAAGGCATTGGTTAAAACATTGCAAAGCAATATAGAAACAAAAAGGCTCAGGGCTAATCCTGGATTAGTACCGTTTTGAGACAGATTTGAGAAGTCAATTGGACCAAACAATCGTCCAATCCATTTATGTAATGAAAAAGCATCTAATAATGAAACATTCATGCTCTCCATGCACAGCATGACATTATTAAAGTCAAAATCCACAATATTTTTAGGAACTGTAATGATCAACAACGAAAAAGCAGTTTCTTGAACTCGACAATCATTCTTTTCCACAAAAAAGAAAAGGCAGAAAAGATATTACTCAAGAAAAAACATCATAACAAAAAACCATCATAACAATGCACTGGATCATATTGCACGTGATATAAACGATACTAGTGTAGCTACAAGGGTACACATGCCAGGAAATTGTTTTCCTAATCTGCAAGGCTCGCCCAATAATGATTGGTCATAAAAAGGTGGCATCTACCATCAGAAGTTCAGTGCAAGGAACAACAGTTGCAATCCTTGGATTATAAGGAATTGATGGCATTAACAAATATTGTCACCCTCAGACACGAGATGGACATTTTAAAATAACCCAACTCGCTGTAAAGATGACTTGGTGAACAGAACAAGAGAATTCACATGCAAGCAAAACAAGCAGGTAGACAGCAAACCAGCGCGTAGATAGATAACCAGATAAGTGAAGATACCTGCGAACAGCAAGACCTCCAAGGAGCTTGTAACGAAGAGACTCGGCCTGCGCAATGGCACAGAGACCCCTGTTGTTAACTTTCTCAGCATAGAGCTCGACACCATTCTCCGGAAACTTGAAACGTTTCTGGACAACGGAAGTGAGCTCCCTGATCCTCCTTCCCTTCTCACCTAAACAAACATAACAGAGAATCTGAATAAAATATTGTTCATTTGATTGAGCGAAAAAAAAGAAGAGGAGGAAAAGGCTACCAAGAACATTTTGGGTACGAGTAGCCCTGATGATGATCTCGGTGCGCATGGGAGTAACCCTAACCTCAACACCAGAGTATCCATCCTCAGCCAATTCTCTAGTCAATACCTCGTTCAGTTCTGCGTAGAAAACTCCATCCGCAACAAACTATAAAACGAATTCATCAGATTCTTCTTTTGTTTCATTAGAGATGAGGAAATCAAATCTTGTTGCAATTTACCTTGCGTTTCTTACTGATTTGAGTGGCCATGATAACTCTAAGATGGACTTACTCAAGCTCCAACTATAAGATGAAGCGAAGCGAAAAGCGCAGGCTCAACCCTAATGAATAGTGGTTGTCTGTGCATTAAAAAAAAAATAAAGAAGCCAGCCAGGCTCATCTCAGCAAACGGTGGCCGTGTTTGGTTTTCGATGTTACGAAAGATGGGCCTAGTTTTAGATATAGTTAGATTGACACAAATTATAGCCCAAGTTGGATTTTGAAGGCTCTTAGACGATCTTTTTCTCTTGTTTTTTTTTATATATATCTTTTATTAATTGAGAAATACAAGCCCTCCTTCAAAGAAAACACACACACACACACAAATACAAATATATATGGAATAAATTATCGTATAAATTAGTGTATTTAATTTAAGTTTATGGAACCTTAACTAAAATCTCAAATCTTTTTATTTTTCTCTATTGTTTCTTGTTGATGTTTTGAACACATAAATATGAACTTGATCATGTGTAATTTGATATATTTTTATTAGTTTAAAAGATGAAAATATAACGAAATGAAGGCTCGAAGAGGTCATAATTATTTTTTAAAGATGGGTTAATTAAAATTAAACATGTAAGGATAAAATGGAAATAACATATAAAACATAAGAGATACATGGAGCCATTTTTTCTAAAAGATTTTCCCGTTCCAATATTTTTTTTTTAATTTATGTAGGCAATTTATTATGAAGGAATTGCCATGGTGGAAGAGTATATAACAAGCGTGTTGCAATGCTAGCCATTGAGGAATTCGAGATGTCGAATGATATGCAAAACTTTCCATCTAACGATAATTCCAATATAGTCCTTTTCAAAATCAACGGGGCTCCGCAGTCATATGTTTGTCATGCCTCCTTTGATAGCACTAGGAGGGAGGTGGGTCCGTGTTGTATGGAGTATGATAGTCAGCTTAGCCAGCAACTAGATCATTGTTAGATAATTGAGCGTGGTCTGCTTCGGGCAAATTAAATTATTTTTTGGATATAATATCGTTCTTAATATATTTTTTAGTAGAAAAAAATTAAGTTATATAGGGATTGATTTAGTTTAATATAATTGACTTGATAAATTTAAAGATAATTTAAATAATTAAAAAAATATATATTTTAATTAAAAAAAATCAAGATGATATTTTTTTTATGTATTGAAATAACAACATATTAAATCAAATTGTATCAACTTAGATTAACCTGTGAAATCTGTTACTTAGATCATAAAACCCTGATAATCCTATAAAAAAATTAAATATAATTCTCATTCCACCTAATATTGAAAACAAAATCAAGCTGAGTCGGCGTAAATTAACCTTCTAGATCTAGGTCATGAAATTGGGATAATTTTATAAAAAGCATATCAAAATAAATTATGAGCTTAATTCACAATCAATTCAATATTGAAAGATAAGATTAAAAATAATTTAAAACACACATAAAAAAACACACAAATCAACAAAAAAAAATCAAATCAGTTAGATTAACTCATTACCCGGATTATAAAATTGTGATAACTTCATAGAAAGTAAATAAAAAATAAATTATAAAAAACAATTCTCAATCAACCCAATTTTAAATGATTATATTGAAAATAAAATAAAGAAACAAACAATGACCTATGTCAACTCGGGTTCACTGTTAAAATCAAATAAGGAGACTAGGATAACTCCACAAAAAATAAATCAAGGCAAATTATGAATTTTAATAACCAATAAATCTAATGTTGGATGATGAAATTGAAAAAAATTCTCACAATTTTATATTTTTAAGTACAACATTGTTTTGATGCATTTAAATTAAAAAAAAACATTAAAAAAAACATTCTACATCATAATATCAAATACACACGAAGAAGTTTAATCAAGGGGTGAGGAATGTACCCTACAGACATAGAGAATATAGCATTTCGCACCCATCACAGCCATTTCAAGTTCTTAGATATGCCTTTCGGTCTCATTAACACCCTTAGCACATTTAAAGCTTTGATGAATTAAAAATTGTTATGACTTGCACCACTATTTTGACACTACCTAACTTTACCATACTATTTATTTTGGAATATGATTCCTTGGATACAAGAATAGGAGTAGTGTTACAACAAAAAGTTTGATCAGTTGAACATTTCAGCAGACCCCTTACATTCCATTATAAAAGTCCTCTAGCTTATAAAAAGGAGCTTATTGCCTTAAACAAAGCAATCAAACATTAGCGAGCATATTTATGAGGGCACTACTTCCCTGTCTAGACAGACCATTACAACCTCAAGTTTTTATTAGAACAACACATCATCATTTCACTACAATAATATTGACTAAATAAACTTATGGGTTTTGATTTTACGAGGGCACTACTTTCTTGCGAGCAAACAAAATAAAGTGGCTGATGCTTTATCTCGCTGTTTCGAGGGCCAACTTAGTCTTGCTTCACTCTCAATGCCTCACTTACCTCTTTTTTATTCCATTCACACCAAGATTCAAATTTCATACCAATTGCAACTGTTGAAGCAAAATATACAGCAAGACAAAGTTATTAGGCCCTAGGAGTATAAGAATGGCTTGCTTTTCTTTAAGCAGCGAGTTTATTTGTTAAGCAAAATATTATCTTAGTTGTCTATAATAATAGCTATAAAGGATATCATAAAACACTTCATCGCGTCGCCCAAGATTTCTATTTGAAAGGAATGAAGACTTCTATATAAGCTTTTATGCAAAAATATCTTGCTTGCCAAGAACACAAGACTAAACACTTGCATCCTATAGGGTTTCTCTAACCTTTGCTAGTTTCGCTTTAGATATGGTCAGATATCTGTATAAATTTCATTGAGGGACTCTCTACCTCTTAAAGGAAGTTTGTTTTATTAGTTGTGGTAGATTATTTTTTAAAGTATGTACATCTTATTCCCCTTACTCATCCATATAATGATGTGAGTGTAGACCCATTTATTCTTTAACGATATTTTCAAACTTCATGACTTGCCTTAGTGATCATGATGTAATGTTTACGAGTTTGTTTTTGACTGAATTGTTATGGTTAAATGGAACTAAATTAGTTGTCTATAGCATTATCGAGATGTATCTGTGTTGCTTTACAAATGACAATCCTTGCCGCTGGTTTCAATAGTTGTCTTAAGAGGAGTACTGTTATAGCACTAGCTACCACTCTTCCCTTGAAGCAACTTCATTCGAAGTGATGTGGTGTTCTAAGACCTTTACAATCGATTACTTCAAGCTCAAAATTTCATGAAGGCAAGGTATGATACTAAAATCATCATTTCTATAATATCTAGGCAATTGAGTTCTACTTAAACTTCAACTTCAGTGCCAATTTAGTCTCTCATCCAACAAGCACATTAAACTCTCACCCTGTTATTATGGCCCCTTTCCTATTTTAGCCAAAGTGGGTTTTGTAGCTTATAATTTAGACCTTCTCTCCTCCTTCAAGCTACACCTTGTTTTTCATGTGCCCTACTTTAAACTTTTTCATGGAATTTTAGTTCTCATTGAACCCATTTTACCTATTGTTACCCTATTGTTACCCCAAGTGAAATTCACCCTCTATTGAAAGCAATTATTGATTCTCGTTCAGTTAATAATTAGCACCTAGTTTTAGTATATTGAGACAAGTTATCTTCTACAAACTCTTCTTGAGAGGATGTTCACTCTTTTTACAATCATTTTTCTTCTTTTGCACTTGAGGACAAGTGTCATATTAATAGGAGCAGTGATGTTATAAGCAATCATGTGGATAAAAGGTTTGTCAAAAAGTAAGTGTATGGAAGGCGTGGCTGAAGCATTATGCTCTAACTTGCCGATTTCATTTCAATTTTTATGATTATTAGTTTAGATGGTATAATAGTGGTACCTACTTTGTAGAAGTTGGTTATTTTACAATTTCTTTATATTTTAAACTAGAATGTTAAGAAAAGAAAGTGAAAAGCTTCAAATTTTTATTTACATTGAAATTGTAGGATTCTCTCTTAAATAGATTATAAAGAAATAAGATATGGCAAACATCATTCTTTTTAGCTTGATTTCATAGTCAATCATTATGTAATTTAAACATGGTTTTGAGACCTAACTTGATTTCATAGTCAATCGTTATGTAATTTAAATATGATTTTAAGACCATAACAATGTACTTTATTTTAATTTGATTTTAAATATGTTTATTTAATATTTTAAAAAATACATTTATGATAATGTTATAAGATTTGATTATAAATAAATGATATTTTAAAATAAAACTAACCACATGATTAAATAAAATACGAATATGAAGTAACACAGCGATGAGTTTGTTTTTTAAATGGAAAGGATTAACTAATTATTTTATTAGAAACATATGGATGTGATAATAATATACTCTCTTTTGATTTAGGCACGCAAATCAGAGGAGAAAAAAATAGTGAATTGTTATTATTTCATCGTTTTTAGCATGTTATAAAATTATATTAATTTATTTTGAATTTAATAGTATAAGTTTAACAAATGGAAGCAAATAATTTAAAAAAAAAAAGTAAATCCGAGGAAAATGAAAGAATCTCAGTCCCAAAAGATTCTATTAGTCACGGATCGCTAGTAACAGTACCCGAACGTACGATATTGTGGGTGGCGTGTCAATAATTATTGGAGGAAGAAAGCTCCTCTCCTATCCTCCACAATGATCCAGGCTTGTTTGTTTGCTGCAGAAATTTTCAATCGAAGAACGTTCCTGGAAAGAGGATCGTTTTTTTTCTTTCTTTTTTTGCAATTAAAGGTAAAATCTAGTTGCCTTTCATGGATGTGATGGCAGTGGATGTTTTACCTGTCATCTTTTATCACAATCGGCATCGATGCCTGGAGAGACGTCGTTCTTAGCTCATGCAGACGGGAAACCCACAAGGTTTGTGGTGGCAACATCTGTCTTTTTAATTAGTGTTGGTTAGTGTGTTAATGGTTATTTTTTAAAGTATTTTTAAAATTATATATATTAAAATAATTTTTTTATTTAAAAATATTTTTGATATTAACGTATTAAAATAATTTAAAAATATAAAAAATATTACATTTTAAATAAAAAAATAAAATTTAAAAAAACATGATCTTAACATGCAATTGGAATTAAATGATTGCTTA